CTCCACCCCCAGGACACTAACCTGTGGCCTACTATCCTCCTGGAGAAGCAGGTCACTATTGCCCTCTGGAAGCTGACCACACCCGACAGCTACTGCTCGGGTGGGATACCTATTTGGTGTGGAGAGGTCTACCATCAGGGCCGTTTTGATGGAGGTAAGTCACTGTCGGGGGGACAGTCCCTGCTGAGTGGAGGTGCTGAAAAAGGGGGACTGGCAAGCAAGGGTAAGAGGTGTGGGGGTGGAGTGGCAATGGGAGGCATTGCCTCGACCAATCCTGCAGTGATGCGGGGAAGGGGGGTGTCCTGACAAGGGGAATTCTGGGGTGGGTGGGTTCTCCTCCCAAGGTCTCAATTACCCCGTCTAACTCCCTGGTCTCTGTCTGTCTATTTGTCTCTTTCTGCAGGTGGTAAGGGCCATCAGTGCGGAGCTGCTGAAGAGGCTCGTCCGTCTGGGAGACCTGGACACCATCGTTGCCAGCTTTGCTGGGCTTGGCTTCCCGAACTGCGGAGGAGCCCTCGATGGAACACACATCCCAATCCGCGCACTACCTCATCGAGCAGCCCAATTTATTAATCGCAAGGGCTACTTTTCTATGGTGCTGCAGGCCCTGGTCAGCCACCGGGGACAGTTTATGGACATTTCTGTCGGGTGGTTGGAGCAGGCACATGATGCCCGCATCTTCTGCAACTTGTACCTGTACAGAAGGCTGCAGGCAGGAACACAGCGGGACCTCACGCTTGGGGACGTGAAGATGCCGCTGTGCATCATGGCCGATGTGGCCTACCCCCTGATGCCGTGGCTCATGAAGCCCTACACCGGCCACATGGGTGCGAGCAAGGAGTTATTTAACACGCATGCAGGTGGAATGCGCGTTTGGTCATTTGAAAGGGAGGATTCGTTGCCTCCTCACATGGCTGGACATGGGCGAACGCAACATCCCCAAGGTGGTGGCTGCAGATTGCATGCTCCATAACCTTGTGGAGAGGAAAGGGGAGACCTTCCTGCCGGGGTGTGGAACAGGTGCTGATGGCGAGGGGAGGCAATTCGAGCAGCCAGGCTCACCAGTCTGGTGTTCGCATCCAAGAGGCCCTGAGGGAGAGACTCTCTGAAGGAGCCCACTGACTCTCCCCAGGGCCTCCCCCATGGGGGGTTTGGCATGGCCCACCCTACCTGTCCCTCTACAACCCTCACCCCATAAAGAATATATACAAAACCAATGTCTGTTTACAAAGAAAACCGGGTGTTATTAGAAACAATATGAGTAAGGATAATGTGCTAACTGTTTAAAACAAAAATTGCTCTTTTTTTTCTGTTCTGCTGTTTATATACAAGCTACATCTTTCACTCAGAAATAAAGATTTTGTTACATCACTGAAATGTTCTTTCACTGGGATGGTAGGGGGCTGAAAACCTGGAGGGGGGAGGAGAGCTCAAGTAGGCTGCTGCTTCCCTGATCACAGAGTCCTGCCACCTTGTGTCCTGGCACCACCATGGCCTTGGGGTTGGGTGGAGCGAGAGCCAATCCAGGGCTGGGCAGGAGGGGGAGCAGCTGTTGGGTCTGTGAGGGCTCGGGAGCAGGAGAGGCTGGGGAAGAAAGGGGGGTTAGCGGGGCAGGGCCCTGGCATGCAGTGACAGGGGCAGGCAAGACTAGGATATCCCGCATAGTGGCACAGATTGAACTGCGGTGCTGGACCAGCTCCTCCGGCAGCCTGTTGCGCCACTTTGCCTCTGCCTCTGTCCTCTGCTGAAGAGTCCTGTTGAGGTCCTGCAGGGCCACTACTTGTTCTTTCAGCAGGTCTGTGTAGACACGCCAGTGCCTGCGGGTGCCACGTGTCCAGGATGTTGGTGGGGCTGGTGTGATATGACCCTCTTGCATGGGGGTGTCCGGCTGTGGAGGAAAAGAGGAAGAGACAATCATGTATGTGTGCACCCGCTGTCCCCGAGGGCATGCCCTCACTGTAAGGGGCTCTCCTTCAGACAGGAGACTCAGAGGTTTTGCACGTGACACTGTGTGTGAGTTGGGCAGCAGCCTGAGCATCAAAGGGGCCCCACAGGGCAATGGGACCAGAGGGCCCCTCCACACTGCCAACCCGCCCATGTGTGGTGACCCCTCAAAGCACTTGCCTGATGTTCCCTCCCCCATGTCCGAGGACACCTGGGAGGCCTCTGGGGTCTGGAGGACCGGCTCCTGGGATAGGGCTGCTTCTGTCTGTTCCTCCTCCTCCTCCTCCTCCTGATGCAGCTCTCCTGTCCCTCCTTCCTGCTTGTCTTCCCTCAGGGGTTTGTCCACAATATGGTGGGATAACCCAGACTCCACAAGAGGCAGCGGAGTCTGGGCTTCCCCACCACCCAGAATCTGCTCCAGATCTGCATAATACGGTAGCTCTGTGGGGCTGCCCCGGAGCGGGAGCGGGAGCTCTGGTCTCGGGCCTTTGCATACCCCTGCCACATTTCTTTTACCTTGGCCCTCACTTGATCCAGGGTGTGGGGGTGATGCCCTTTCTTGGCCGGTCCCTGGGCAATGCACTCATATATGTCTGCGTTCCTGCAGCATGACTGCAGGGCCTGCAGATTCCTTCTGAGACCAGAGCTCCAGGAGGTTTTTTATTTCAGGCCCTGACCAGGCTGGTGTCCACCTTTTGGAGCTCCTGGGTGGATCCTCTTCACTGTCCCAAGAAGGGCCCGGGGGGCCTTGAGGCTGGGACATGGCTAGCATGGCTGGCACAGGTGCTCTGGCTGGCTTCCTGACAGCAATGCCTGTCTGGGTGCCTGTGCCTTTAAGAGACTGCAAACAGGAACAGAAGAGGTGCTCAGCATTAAGGATGGACTGTCCACCAGGGCTTCTTCCTGAAGGCCCCCCCCTTTTTTTTTTTTTTTTTTGAAAGAACAGGATCCCCTTCGTCCACACACACCTATTTTTGACAGATCTCTGTCAAAAAAGGTGCTATTCCTCGTAAAATGAGGTTTACAATTGTTGACAAAACTGCCACATTCTTTCGATTTACTGTCAACAGAACATGGCGGCAGTCTAGATACAGGTAAAGTTTTTTCAAAAAAAGGCCACTTTTTTTCTGAATAAAGCCTGCAGTCTAGACACACCCTTAGAGTTTGCCCGTAAATATGTTCTGGTAGAACAATACCACCAAGTTCCACTAGGGAGGCACAGCTTCTACCAGCAAAACAAACATTTTAAAATATGAAAAGTTCAGCCCAAAGAATTACGTGCTGAAAGGACTAAAATTCACAAAGTGTTTGTCAATCCAAATCTGCATTCTAGCTAGCTCTACTTCTCAGTCACTTAGGACGTTAAAAATGTCATCCCTGTTCAATCATGCTCCATTATCCATACTCCACCAGTCACACCAGTGTCAATGCATACTTTTCCTGAAACTTCTCTTCGCTCCAGTCAGAGTTACTTTAAATGCAAGGAGAGTGAAATCAAGAAAATAAAACGAAAATACAAAATACCTCTGTAAACTTGCTGTGCGTTTTATCAATGTCTATCTTTTTTATTAAAGGAGTTAGGCATCCAAATCCCATTGAAATTCTATGGGTCTATGGCTTAACTTTGAAATTACAACCTAAATTCCTGAAGGTATGGATCATCTTGCTCTGTGACAGGCTAGACTGCTGATGTGCTGAAACCACTGCGTATAATGCTGACTGATATTGTCTTATTGTTTTCCTTGTACTCTACCACCTATTTGCACCCCATTCTCTAGTTTTATGGTTAGATTGTATGCTCTTTGGGGCAGGGTCTATCTTTTACTCTGTTTTTGTAAAGTGCCTAACGTAATTGGGTCTTGGTCAATGACTGGGACTCCTTGCCACTAAGGTAATACAAATAATCAATAATCATAATATATCTGATCTATACAGCTTGGTATTGCTGATGTTTAATAATAAAAAATAATCCACAGCAGGTACAATTTTGCACCGACAGACCTGGTTTCTTTTTCAGAATTTGTGTTGTATGACTGAAATCTTGCATGCATGTTCCTGCTCTGGAATCTTCAGATGCATATAATTTTAAAAATATCCCTAGGAAAACTAATAATCATAATATTCTGTTTTGGACAGGACATTGAATAGCTTAGAGAAAAACATAACAAAGTTTGATTAAGCCCTACTTAAACGAGATGTATGTGACCTAATATAAACACAGATGGATCCTGGAGATCTGTGTTTACTAGCTTTCCTATAACTGCCACAACCACACAAAGACAAGTGTAAAGGGTAAACTCTCTGTAAACAGTTTTCTCTGATCCAAGCTGATCTCTGGCTGATAGCCTTTTTTGGCAACAGTCAGCTTTCTGCTATGGAAAGGATTTCAGTGATGCCACAAACAGACAAAACTCAGATTCCTGAATTATATGTTTAGGAGATAAGTGAAGGCAAGATTTCGGCTAAGTTTCTTCTTTTAAATTGTTAAATGCATTTATAATTTTAAATTCTAGTGCATAATCCCATTCATTGGAGATACTGATGTCTTTCAAGTGATGGAATCTATTGTTAGCAATGCCCATTAGAGCCATCATGTGCCTCTCCTGCCCTTCTCGTTGCACTCCTAAACATTTGGAGAACAAAGCTATAAAAGAGTTGTGATGCCCTATGCCTCCTCATTTCCTTCCATCATCAGCTGCAGATACACGTGAATCTCACTGGATCCATTATACCTGAACCCTTATCAGTGGGTGAATTCATTACTTTCATAGAATCATAGGGCTGGAAGAGACCTCAGGAGGTCATCGAGTCCAACCCCCTACTAAAAGCAGGACCAACCCTAACTAAATCGTCCCAGACAGGGCTTTGTCTTTGGCTGAGTCCTTAGCTGAGTTCAGTGTAGTTTTGAGTGTAAAGCTTAGTTAGCTACCCAGTTCCTGGTTGTTTTCCAAGGATTTTATTATAATTATTATTTATTAGCATACATTTAGTTCCAACTTTCAGCTGACTATCAGTTCTGTGGAGGATCCAAATACTAAGAGACCTGGCTTCAAAAGTATGCCTCTTGCCCAGCACTCTTTTGGGTGTTGATCAAACACATGAGATCTTCTGCATGCTTCAGAGAGGGTCACTCTTCTTCTAGGAGTTCTATTGTCAGCGCTTTTATCCTCAGGGCTTGCAAGGAATACCAGAACAGACTACAAGCTTAATTACTTCAAGAAGGCCATGAAACCTCCCGCATCCGATACATCTAAGGTATCTGTAGCTAAAGGAAAGAGGCCAGTGTTGACTCCTGACACCTCAGGAACAAAGAAAATAAAGCTATAGAGAAGGTTCCGATCTCTGCCCCAGGATCAAGATCAAAGGCCTTAGTGCAGTTGGTTCCCAGATAATCCAGTCCAGCTTCTAAGGTTAACAGAACCGAGAGTATTTTAGTAGTCTTCCAGTCTCTTTATTTCATGGGCAGACAACTATAAAGTACTCACTATCTCTTCACAGATATTATCTAGATGTGCTAGGGGATGTATAAAGAAGGGCTGTAGGCTAGCATCCATTCCATCCACGTTGGAGTAAGGTCTCTGCTAGAGTATGCTTTAAATATGTTTCATTTGCAGAGATGATATTTGAAGCTGTCTATGCAGATGCATTTACAAAAAACTACTCCCTAGACCTAGCATTTAGATTGAATTCTCAGTCCAGAGAAGCAGTACTGAGATCACTGCTAAGTTAGGACTCTGCATCCCATCTTTCATTTGTGGGATACTGCTCGCCAAACATCCTATGAGTGGGAAGCAGTCACTCAAAGGAATGATGCTTACTTACCTATAATCAGAGTTCTTTGAGGTGGACTCTGCATGTTCACACTCCCTGCTCGTCACCTCTGTGTCTCAGAGTTTTAAAAGAATCTTGACTCTGAGAAGGTGGCCAACAGAATTGAGCCAGTAGAAAGTGCTGGTCCTGTTTTATTGCCTCGGCCATGGAACATTCAGGAACTCAGGAGTAAGGGCAGGAGAGGAGCATGAGCATAAGTTCTCTAACAGGTACTGTTATGATGAGGTTCCACTCTCTGAACTTCATCCATCACTGTATCCAATGAGTAAAATGACACAGACTATCCAAGAATCCAGGGTCAGAAGGATCTGCCACCAGGAATTGTTGGTGGCAATCATGAAGTCTGGGGAAATTACTTTGAAAAGGTAAGGGTCCAGGAGTACCACGGACACTTTGGTTTGTTTAGAACCCTTTGTTGTATTGGAACTGGAGCCCAGTTAGGCTTAAATCAGTGCTGGCTGTGGCCCCATCCCATTGTGGCTGTTTGTTTCTTTTAGGCTACACTTCTATAGAGTCATGCTACTAGTGTTCCTGTAGCTCTAGCGATGCTGAACTGGATGCCCCTGGGACATCTCAGACTCCTGGATTCATAATTGAGCTATCTGTGAGGAAGAACTCACAGTCAGAAATAGCCAAATTGATCCATGCTTTTCACGTCTTTGCAGTGTTGTACTAGTTGAAGACAAAGAGCATACTCATGTGGGCCTCCCTCCTTTTTTCATATAGGGCATCATAATTTCCAGGTGGGTGAAGCAGATTATCTGTTGTTGACAGAAGGGCTGTCCAGAGGACTTGTCCTAACAAGCAGTAATTGTGTAATTAGGGGCTTTTAATCTAATAAAGGAATCCCAATTCATTTTTAGTCTTCAGCTTGTTGACAGTTAATGTCATCCACATTGAATGAAAACTATCAGGAATCCTTTGTTTTTCAAACTATTTGCAAGTTGTGGTGAGGTACTGAAGCTCTATTGTTTGTATCTGTGAAATACAAACTGTAAAGTCTGTAACAGGTCAGAATAATCATTCTAAAGAGAATGGAATGCTCATCTTCTGAATCTTGGTCTCAGCAAATAGCTGCGCTCCATCTTTTATTATCTAAAGTTTAAAGGGAACCAGGCTTTATTGTGTTATGCTTGGGATTGTGTCACATGTGACTCTTGGTCCCTGAGGATGCTGGTGTATGTGATCAAGCCCAGTGTTGTTTTCCTTTCAAATGTTACGTCTAGTATTGCTCACTGACTTGATTCAATGTTAGTGACTTTAGTGTACAGGAGTGATAATTGTTTATGTGAAAATGTTATTTCTCTGAATTGTTCTGCAGCAACCTGTGCGAAAGAATCCTCCTTTTCTTGC